CAGGTCGTCTACGTAAACAAGGATGTAGAACGGGTCTGGCCAGCACGAACGAGGAGCGAGGGGTCGGCAGAGGACGGGAAGAACTGTAGGTCAGCTAGGGTAGCATGCAGCGTGTCGTGCCACTCACGGGGCGCCTGTCGCAGGCCGTAGACTGGGCGCCGCAGGAGCCACTGGGTCCCAGGTGGGAAGGTACCAGTAAAGCCCTGAGGGTGGCGCAGGTAGACTTGCTCGTGTAGGCTTCCCTGAAGAAAAGCTACGAAGAAGTCGAGGGAGTGTGGCTCGTAGTCGCGCTGTGCCGCTACGTATAGCAGCACTCGAAGAGTAGTCATCTTCGGGGTCGGCGCGAAGGTCTGAAAGAAGTCCACCCCTTCACGCTGTCTGAAGCCTCTAGTCACGTAGTGTGCCTTGAACACAGGCGGCTCTCCAGGGGGGCGCTTCACCTTGAAGAGCCAGCGGCCATCAACTACGTTCGCCTCGGGTGGGGGAACTGCGTCGACGTAGGTGCCGGTGGATCTCCAAGATGCCATCTCCTGCTCCATGGTAGCTATCCACTAAGAGGCCCAGGGTCCCGAGGTGGCCTCAGCGTAGGTGCGAGGGGTCGGGATGTCGAAGGCGTCTGGGTCACCCTCAGGGACTAGCAGCATGGAGCAGAGATGGGGAGCAGCCTCGGACAGGAAAGCAAGCTCGTACTGTCGGTCCTCCAAGACGTCACTGCCGAGGGCAGGTGCACCCCCGACGGACGTAGGACAGGCAGGGTCAGAGACCAAAGAGGTGGCGTAGTCAAGGCGGCGGGTAGAGGTGAAGTCAGCGACAGCAGCGACAAGCGCGTCAAGACGTGAAACAGGAACAAACGTGTCGGTAACGAGGGAGGCAAGGACCTGAGGAACAAGAGGACGAGCGGCACGAAGGTAGTCAGAAAGAGGGGGAGGCGCGACAACAAGTAAGGACGGAGGAGGCAACGGCAGGAAGGGAGGACAGGATACGTGGGAACGAAGCAACATAGGGTGAGACCGCCGAACAAGAGAGAAAGGACGAGCACGAGAGGGACGGCGGGACCAGATGTGAGACGGGGGCGTCCGGTCAGGAGACAGAGAGGGGACGCAGTAGGGAACGAGGTGGAAAACGAGCCGGAGACGAGTCCGGAGGAGGGAACAGGGGGCCGTAGACAGGATGAGGAGGAGACGATAGGAGAGGCGCAGACGCACAGTCAGGGGAGGGAAGGCGCCACTAGAGTCAGTGGACTCCTCAACCGGGACAACCAACGGAAGCGGGGTGACGTGAGACACACCAGATGGGGCAGGGCAGGGAGGGGGGGTGCAGGGGCGACTGGGGGATGGGGAACCAGGAACAGGGGGGAGTTAACGGGGGACCACGGTGGGGAAAACGGTGGTAGAAGGAAACGGACTCGTCAAAGGTGACGTCGCGAGAGTGAAGGAAACGGTGAGACTGGGTGTGGTAGAAGTGCCAGTCAGACGAGTCGAGGGGGAAACCTTGGAAGACATAGGGGAGTGTGCCGGCTATGAGCTTGTCCGTGCCAGAGGCACGAACGTGAGCAAGGCAGCCCCAGATGTGGAACGCAGATGCGTTACCAGGGGACCCGGTCCAGAGAAGGGTCGGCGAAACCTGCGGCCACAGGTTAAGCTGGTGAGCGGCGTAGCGAATGGCGAACGGCCACAGAAAATAGGGTGCACCGATATGGATCATGGAGGTACGAGCCACCTCTATGACCAAACCGATGCGTCGCTCAGCGACCCCATTCTGCTACGGAGAGTCTGGCAAGGTGAACGTCTGGGTGATGCCCTCCGCACGACTGAAACGTCCAAGGCAACCAGAGGCAAACTCGCCACCACGGTCAAAGTGGAGACGCAACACAAAGAGACCGCGCTGCACACGCGCAGAGACAAGCCACGGGATAAGAACGTCAGGCACGTCGGCCTTCCGCTCCAAGGGAAAAATGGTGGTGTAACGAGTGTAGTCGTCAACAAGGACGAGGAAGTAACGCTCACAACGCGGCCCATGGACGAGGGCAGGGCCCCAAACGTCCATGTGCAAGGTCTGCAAGGGTGTGGTGGTGGGGGGGAACGAGGAGGAGTGAGGGGCACGGCGGAGCCGGCCCTCGACGCAAGGGGTGCATGGCGGTGCGGGTGAGGAGGGGGGCTCAGGGAATGACTCAGGGAGACCTAAAACAAGACCGTGCTGAGACATATAATGAAGACGAGGGAGGGCAGGGTGACCTAGACGGTGGTGCCACAGGATCGTCGGGTGAGTAAGCGACCGACAGGAGCAAGCCGCAGCTACCTAAGGAGACACAGACACCTGGGGAGACGTCCCAGCCGGGGGGGGGGGGGGCGGTGTCCAGCGTGAACAAGCCGGACACCGGGTCCCGGGGGAACGTGGTGAGGGGAGCACCGGTAGCGGCCTCGGTACAGACAGTGTACCGCTCGTGATCAGGGAACGTAGTGGTGACGAAAAGGCCCTGAAGGCAGCCGACACCAACTAGGTTCCTAGAGAACGAAGGGATGTGCAGGCCTGAAAGTGAGCCCGAAGGAGCCGCCGGATAGGGAAGGGTAGTGGAGCTATGAGCTACGATAGGGCCGGAGGAAGGGTCAGCTTGGGAAACTGCGGTGGGAGCGGCAAGCGGCGTGAGAGTCGTGGAGTCCCGGAAGAAGCACCGGGAAGCACCGGAGTCAAGGGTGAAGGAGAGCGCGGCAGTCACGACCGGGGCCGAGGAAGCGAGGGAGGAGCCTAGGCTAAACAAAGCAGGGGATCCTACATCTGATGCAGCAGGGGAGTCTGAGCTAGGCACACCTACACAAGGCAAAACGGGGTAAGCGGCACCAATCACACTAGAGTCATCGACATACAGAACATACAACGCAGAGCTAATGTCATCCATGTCCATATCAAAGATCTGAACATCCCTACGGAGCAAGCTGAGCCAGTCGGGGAGGTCAGGCGACGGGCCGAAGCGAAGATGAAACAGGTCTTCTAGGCGAATGAAACAGCTAGTGGGGGTGTGATCGATCTTACCGCACACGAGGGCACAGCGAGGACCGATCTGGTGCTAGTACTGGCAGTGCCTGTCGCCCGAACCACCACCCGACGTCACGCCGCGCGCACGACCACCGCGACCACCGCCACCACCAGCGCCGGGCCAACCGGGCGGGAGACGACAAACCCGCCACTGCTGGTGGTGCTGCTGCTACGACGGCTGCTGCTGCTGCTGCAGTGGCTGCTGCTGCGACGGCTGCTGGTCGAGCGGGGGGACTTGTTGCTACTGCTGAGACTGCTGCTCGGCGGTGCTAGGCCCAGCGCCCTCGTTTGCACCCCCAGTGGGCGACCCGCCTCCACCACCTCCTCCACCCCCACCTGCTCCACTCCCACCACCGCCGCGCCCAGCCTTGGGGCGGCGGCCCTTTCCCAGACGAACGTGCACTGCAACGGCAGTCTCAGCCACTACAGCAGAGCCGTCAGAGAAAGTGCACTGAGCGGGCGCACAGCCCTGAAAGATAGAGACGGGCACAGTACCGCTGGACTGGGTGATAGAGCGCTAGCGGGTCTCTATGGCACACAGGGTGTCGACAAAGTCATTAAGGGTGAGTTCTGCGGGGTGGGTACTACGAAAGTGATCGCGGGCAGTAGCAAGGCGGCCAGGGAGGCGAATCGCGAGCAGGTAGAGGGTAGCGCAGAGGGGGGGCTGGAACACGCGGAGCTGGGCCTCAGTGCAGGCCAAGCGCCAGGTCGAGTCTAGCGTGCGCAAGTGGGCGGCTAGGTCAGCGACAGTGAGGAAAGACGCGAGGTCAGGAAAAAGCAGAGGCAGGATCAGGCGACGGCAGAGGCAGAGGACGGGGTGGAATAACGCTCAATAACTGCATCTAGAAACTCCTGTCCGGTCCTGACCGACCTAAAGCGTGGACGCTCAGACAGGGGAAGGGCATGGCTGATGACGAGCTGTGCAACAGCGTCACGCGACAACCAGACCGAATGGGCAAGGGCAGCAGCGGCAGCGGACTCACAATCAGCGGACGTGGGGTCAGCGGGCAGCGCAGCAGGGGGGTTAGGACAGGGGAGCGTACCGTCAAGGTGGACAGCCAAGGAGTTGCCGTCCTGCCGCTGCCCAGTGAGGTGACGGCGGAGGTCGACGAGCCACATGTCGAACTCGATCAGCTGACCCTCCGCGTCAAACCGCAGCACAGAGTCCGCCATCATGAGCGATGCATGCAGTTGCAGTGCAGTTAGGTGCAGTGCAGTGCAGTGTAGTGCAGTTCGGTGCTGGCTACGGACGGGCGCGGAGGCCGGCTACGGACGGGCGCGGAGGCTGGCTACGGACGGGCGCGGGGCCGGCTAACAGACGGGCGCGGGGCCAGCTTAGGGACGGACGCGGGCCGGGGAACGGACGGGCGCGGGTCCGGCTATCGGACGGGCGCGGGGGCCGGCTTAGGGGGAACGGGCTGCTAGGACCTAGGGCGGAAGCGCTGGTAGGCGAACGGGACCTAACCTACCCATGATACCATGTTAGAATGTTAGAATGACGAGAATGAGGGAGTACACGGGAATATAGGCAAGTGTGTTGTACCATGTAAGGCGCAAACCTATATAGTCTACGCTAAGATACTGAGTTATGTTTGACATCTTTCACGATTCAACTACCTTTAATTTATGTATGATCCCCCAATCAATCATGTTTGCTACACCCGAAGTCACCACATGTGCCTATTTTCCCCAATGACGAAATTGATAAAGGGAAAGTCCATTTCATCTCCTGCCCCATTGGAAAAATGGCCGCCGATGTCCACAGTGTTCAGCTACTGCGCATAACTAAGCGGGTTCATCAAGAGGACATTTGCCTTATCGGTAACATGTGGTAAGCTTATATCCTCTTTTAGTGAGTGTTTATAGGAAACGCCTTATACATGAGATGTTGTAAGCTTATATTCTCTTATAGGGGACGCACTATTATGTTCTGTTGTTGCGCTAGTCCCACACGAGCAGTTTAGCTTGCGGCAACAGGAGGCTTTACCACAGTAGGGAAGTACTTTCCTGTATATAGGGTGCGGCAGTCGGTTGCGCCTGTTATTCTTCGCCCAGCGTCGTCCCCTTCAGATTTGCCGTCTGCTCCAGACGGCACGATGGTGCAGCGGCGGGGGGCGGGCGGCAAGGATGGCGCGGGGGGAGTGGCGGAGGAGGCGCACGTGCCGCTGCAAGCCATCCTATTGGCTGACAGCTTCGCGCAGACGTTCCGACCAATCACGCTGCGCAAACCCAAGGTGGGCGCTCGGGGGAACTTCAACGCTGTTAAACCCCTGCCGCGAATGCGTCGATCTCTAGGCAATGTGCGTTGTATCGAAGCACCTTGTGGCGCAGCCGGTCTATCTAGCTGTGGGAGCCGTGGAGGGCGTTGATGCAGGGAAGGAGTGGTTCGTCCGTGAATGAAGCGCCTTTCATCCCCCTCAGTACCCCGGGGCTGTACCAGTGCGCATCCCCATGGCCGCCTCTCTCCTGCGTGCCGCCTCGCTCCTCTCGTCGTGCCCCTTCCCTCACAGCCCAATGCGCTGCCATCTGCTCCTCTCCCTGCCTCCCGTGCTTCCTCCTCCCTCCGCCCTTTGATACGCCACGTGCTGCTACCGCTGGCGGGCGGGCCCATGATCCACTGCCGGTCACATGGCTTGCCGCCCTCACCCTCTCCCCCCCTTCCCCCCCCTTCCCTCCCTTCCCCCCTCCCCCCCCCCCAGGTGCTGCTGCCGGTGGCGGGCGTGCCCATGATGGACTACACGCTGGAGTGGCTGGCCATGGCGGGCGTGGAGGAGGTCTTCGTCTTCTGCTGCGCGCACTCCACGCAGGTGCAGTGCGCTGCATGCCACTCAAGTCAGCCTCAAGTGCCGATTCTGTGTGCGCTCCGTCCCATGCCAACCGCCCACGCGTTGGCAGCAGCTGCTGCAGCGGCTGCTCCCGCCAGCGCATTGAGTTCTCCTGACCCCCGGCATTTCGTGACCTGTGTTGGCTCCAATGACCCCATTGACCTGCGTTGGCTCCAATGACCCCATTGACCTGCGTTGGCTCCAGTGACCCCCATTGACCTCGTGAAACCGCACTGATTGTCGTCAGTCGCAGAGCTTGTGTTGACTTGCATTGACTCCACTGACGGCGACCCGCTATCCCATCATTCAGACCCGAGCCTGCATTGAGGGTCCTGGCTCTCACAGCCGCCCACGTTGGCCATACCAGTGGCTAGCGCTGACCTGGACTGCTCTGACTGCGCCCGTGCCCCTCACCTCACCATGCCCGTGCCCATCCCACCAGATCCGAGCGCACCTGGAGGATGCGGGCTGGATGCGCCCATCCGCCTCGTCGCAGCACCAGCAGGGCCAGCAGCAGGGGGGTGGCGTTCGGCGCGGCATGCGCGTGTCGACGGTGGTGGCGCATGACTGCGTCAGTGTGGGCGACGCGCTCAGGCACATGGACCACAAGGGCGTGGTGAGCACAAGGCAGTGGTGAGGCATTGAAGCAGAGTGTGTGCCACCCTTGTGGCACTCTCCCCTGTGCAGAAACCATCCGTCCTGGCTTCTCCTTTTCCCTCTTTTCCTCGCCTCTCCACACCCTCTGCCCTGCCGCCCCACTGCCTCTCCGCACCCTGTGCCCTGCGGCCCCACTGCCTGTCCGCTGCCCCTTGAGTCAGATCCGCGGGGATTTCATTCTGGTGAGCGGGGATGTCATCGCCAATGTCTCGCTCACACACGCGCTCCACCAGCACAGGTGAGGGGCTTCACCAGCACAGGTGAGGGGCTTCACCAGCACAGGTGAGGGGCTCCACCAGCACAGGTGAGGGGCTTCACCAGCACAGGTGAGGGGCTTCACCAGCACAGGTGAGGGGCTTCACCAGCACAGGTGAGGGGCTTCACCAGCACAGGTGAGGTGCTTCACCAGCACAGGTGAGGGGCTCCACCAGCACAGGTGAGGGGCTTCACCAGCACAGGTGAGGTGCTTCACCAGCACAGGTGAGGGGCTTCACCAGCACAGGTGAGGTGCTTCACCAGCACAGGTGAGGGCCTTCACCAGCACAGGTGAGGGGCTTCACCAGCACAGGTGAGGGGCTTCACCAGCACAGGTGAGGGGCTTCACCAGCACAGGTGAGGTGCTTCACCAGCACAGGTGAGGGGCTTCACCAGCACAGGTGAGGGGCTTCACCAGCACAGGTGAGGTGCTTCACCAGCACAGGTGAGGGGCTTCACCAGCACAGGTGAGGGGCTTCACCAGCACAGGTGAGGGGCTTCACCAGCACAGGTGAGGGGCTTCACCAGCACAGGTGAGGGGCTTCACCAGCACAGGTGAGGTGCTTCACCAGCACAGGTGAGGGGCTTCACCAGCACAGGTGAGGGGCTTCACCAGCACAGGTGAGGTGCTTCACCAGCACAGGTGAGGGGCTTCACCAGCACAGGTGAGGGGCTTCACCAGCACAGGTGAGGTGCTTCACCAGCACAGGTGAGGGGCTCCACCAGCACAGGTGAGGGGCTTCACCAGCACAGGTGAGGTGCTTCACCAGCACAGGTGAGGGGCTTCACCAGCACAGGTGAGGTGCTTCACCAGCACAGGTGAGGCGCTTCACCAGCACAGGTGAGGGGCTTCACCAGCACAGGTGAGGGGCTTCACCAGCACAGGTGAGGGGCTTCACCAGCACAGGTGAGGGGCTTCACCAGCACAGGTGAGGGGCTTCACCAGCACAGGTGAGGTGCTTCACCAGCACAGGTGAGGTGCTGTCGTTACCAGCAATGCAGTTGAGTGAGCTGACGTCATCAGCAGTGGCACAGCAGAGGGAGTGGGAGCTTGTTTCCCCCTTTCCCTCGCAGGCGTGTCTTCCCTGTGCTCACGCCAAGCGCTGTGCCTACATGGATTGGGGCAGCTTCCGCGGTCCTTTGGACTGCTGCAGTGCGCCCCAGGCTGGGCTGAATTCATTGGCAGCAGCGTTGATCCACTCAATGCGCCCGTGCCTGCTGATGCCAGACTCCCACCCACACTGCTGATGCCAGACTCCCACGGTGCTACCCACACTGCTGACCAGGGGATTCCTATCCGGCTGCCACCCACCCGCTGCATGCAATGCAAGCCAGCAGATCGCTGTCAGGCAGATCGCTGTCAGGCAGATCGCTGCCAAGCAGATTGCTGCCAAGCAGATTGCTGCCAAGCAGATTGCTGCCAAGCAGATCGCTGCCAAGCAGATTGCTGCCAAGCAGATTGCTGCCAAGCAGATTGCTGCCAAGCAGATTGCTGCCAAGCAGATTGCTGCCGAGCAGATCGCTGCCAAGCAGATCGCTTGCAATTCCGTCAAACGCATTGCCCACATCATGCCGTCATATCGTCTGGCTTAATCCTTTGCAGTCATATTCCACCTGCAGCCTGCCCTCAACTCAATTCCTTCCACCTGCTGTCTATTTCCCCCCTGCCCTGCACGCACATGCGCACATGCGTGCATGCGTGCCTGCCCTCACCTGCCCTCACCTGCCCAGGGAGCGGCGGCGCAAGGACAAGCAGGCGGTGATGACCGCGCTGCTCAGACGCTGCCCCTCCACCGCCCTCACCCACCTCGTACGCCCTCACCCACCTCGTACGCCCTCACCCACCTCGTACGCCCTCACCCACCTCGTACGCCCTCACCCACCTCGTACGCCCTCACCCACCTCGTACGCCCTCACCCACCTCGTACGCCCTCACCCACCTCGTACGCCCTCACCCACCTCGTACGCCCTCACCCACCTCGTACGCCCTCACCCACCTCGTACGCCCTCACCCACCTCGTACGCCCTCACCCACCTCGTACGCCCTCACCCACCTCGTACGCCCTCACCCACCTCGTACGCCCTCACCCACCTCGTACGCCCTCACCCACCTCGTACGCCCTCACCCACCTCGTACGCCCTCACCCACCTCGTACGCCCTCACCCACCTCGTACGCCCTCACCCACCTCGTACGCCCTCACCCACGTCGTTCGTTGCTCTTACGCCCTGAGCATAGCATGACGATACATAGGACGCCGCTGATCCTCTTGCCCGGTTACTCTCTCCCACGCACATGTGCTCCTCACATGCTCGTCCCTCCCTCCCACCCATCCCCCTTTTCCCCCCTTCCGGCCCGCAACCTTTTTGTCAAACCCTGTGCTGCTCTCGGGGCCCAGACGCGCACGGGCAGCGAGTCGCAGGTATTTGGTGTCTGCCCGGATTCGAGCCAGCTGCTCTTCTACGAGCCGCCGCCCGACCCCCTCACTGCCACGGCCACCGGCAAGCTCGCCTCTGTAGCGGGTGGGCGGCGTAGCTTGGCAGTGTCTGTGGAGCGGGCGGTGTGGCAGGGGCACCGACGGCTGGCTCTGCGGACGGACCTGGAGGTGACGCTCACCCCCGCACACACGCACGCACGCCCTGCACTCCCTCCATGGTCTCTCTCGCCCCCGTTCCTGCTCCAATGATTTGTTTCAGTGACGGAAGCTCCTCTCTCACACTCCTGCTCTCGCTTCCAGGCGTTGCTCCTCGGCCCATCCGCCACGCCTTTCTCAGTTGCACCCCCACCCGTGCACGCTCCATGGCACCGTCGTGCTGCCCATCCGCTCACTTCGAGCGCCTTTGAGTCCATGCTAGGGGTACAATTGAAGTGCTTTGCTTTCCAAACAATTTGGTAAGAGCCATGCTCCCTTTGTCCCGTCGTGCCTCTCTCCCCCAGGACTGCGGCATCGACATCTGTGCGCCGGAGGTGCTGTACCTGTACACCGACAACTTCGACTACCAGCACCCCCGCAGGGACTTCCTGCGCGGCATTCTCAGTGATGACGTGAGCATTCTCAGGGATGACGTGAGCATTCTCAGTGATGACGTGAGCATCACTGCCTCTTCACTTGTCTCCCTGAACGGTCCTTGACTATATCAGGGGCATACATTTAAGGCAAGGCAACACACCATCCAACGCCGCGAGGAATAGTGTGGCCTTCGCGAAGATGCGGTGGAGGCATTCCCCCACCGCGATTGGTCGAGTGCCTCCCCCCGGCTTGGTGAACGCCAGCAGCCGCGACGCAGTGAGCAAGTCGGCGGCAGCTTGGCATAGGCGGCCAGTTAGGGCGAGTTGGCAGAGGCGGTGGAGGTGGGAGCATATGTCGGAGTTGGCTAGGGCGGCGGTGCGTAGATGCTCGAATGTAGTGCCTGAGGGCCCCGCTCCAACTCCATTAGGGAGCTGGGAGATGGAGCGGTGGAAATCCTTGAGGGAGATGGAAGGGATTTCCGTCGGCTCGGAGGAGGGGAGCCACACAGGCAAGGGTGTTTCAGCAGCTGGGTGCCTTGAGTGTAAAGCTTGGAGTGTTTCGGCATTTGTTGGGCTGACCGGGGTAGCCTCCAGCGCCTGGACTGCCTTGCGTAAGTTCCCGCGTTTAGCGAGGTGCTCGGCTCTGGCAACTGCTCCCGTGCTGTCAGGTGCGTGCTGGGGCAGTGGGGGTAGTGAGGTGGCAGCAACCGCCTCAGTGTACAGCACCCCCCAGTTCCCCTGTTGGAAAGGTTCCAGGCGCCTCGAGATGGCTTTTTATTGGGGCCGCCTGGTGGAACTGACACGCAGGATCAGGCGGGGGAGAAATGCGTGCATGGTATGAGCATCAGCACGCACACATGGTATGAGCATCAGCACGCACACATGGTATGAGCATCAGCACGCACACATGGTATGAGCATCAGCACGCACACATGGTATGAGCATCAGCACGCACACATGGTATGAGCATCAGCACGCACACATGGTATGAGCATCAGCACGCACACATGGTATGAGCATCAGCACGCACACATGGTATGAGCATCAGCATGCACACATGGTATGAGCATCAGCACGCACACATGGTATGAGCATCAGCACGCACACATGGTATGAGCATCAGCACGCACACATGGTATGAGCATCAGCACGCACACATGGTATGAGCATCAGCACGCACACATGGTATGAGCATCAGCATGCACACATGGTATGAGCATCAGCACGCACACATGGTATGAGCACTGGCAATGGCACAGTATCAAAGAGGTTAGGAGCCGCCTTCCCTTTCCCTCATGATGACGTCATCACATGTGGTGACGTGGTGAGCTGTGCCGACATCAATGGGGCTGCGGTGATAGTATGGACTGCTCTGGCGATCCTTAGGACAGCTGCAGTGCGCCCCAGGCTGGGCTGAATTCATTGGCAGCAGCGTTGATCCACACTCAATGCGCCCGTGCCTGCTGATGCCAGACTCCCACCCACACTGCTTTGGAGGCTTCAAACTCGGATGCTGATGAGTCAGATGCTGCGTTGGTGTGACAGGCACCAGCAGGAGCATCACGCGTGTAGCTGGCTATGCTTGCCTGTTGAGTTAACTGCACCTTCCCACCGGTCCCAACCCCTCCGCACCCGTCAGATCATGGGCAACAAGATCTTCACGCACGAGGTCTCAGCGCAGTACGCCGCACGCATCGACACGCTGCGCGCCTACGCGGCTGTGTCTTGCGACGTGCTGCACCGCTGGGCGTTCCCCCTCGCGCCCGACTGCGCCTTTGGCGGGCACAGCGGCCGCACCGCCGTCAACAGAGGCAACCGGTACCGCGAGGAAGGTGAGTGGAGGTGAGCGCAAGGTGAGCGCAAGATGAACGGAAGGTGAGCGGAAGGTGAGCCAAAGGTGGGTTCTTTTTACTTGCTGAGTGACCCTATGTGTTTACTTGCTGCTCTGCTTCACCTTACCCGGTCCCCTCTCCCTCCCCCCTCCATATACCCTACTGGCCTCATCACCCTCCAGCCGTGTCGGTGGCGCGCTCAGCGGTCATTGGGCCAGACACGTTGCTGGGCGAGGGCACGGTGGTGGCGGAGCGGGCGCAGGTGAAGGGCTCGGTGCTGGGCGCTCACTGCCTCGTAGGCGAGGGGGCGGTGGTGGAGGGCAGCTTCTTGTGGGGCGGCGTCACAGTGGGTGCGGGTGCGGTGGTGCGGCACGCGGTGCTTTGCGACGGCGTGCAGGTCATGGCGGGGGGGCGAGTCAACGAGGGATGCGTGCTCTCCTTCGATGTGAGTGGCGCTGCCTGTCATCTGCGCGTGCACATGTGTATCTGTGATGGTGGGTGGGGGCTCAATGGTGCCGCCGCATGCGTTGCTGTGTGATGGCGGCACTGATGCCCGCATGTGGGATGGCGGCGCTGCTGCCCCTCTGGTTCATGCTCCACGCATCTCCCTCACATATTTCTACCACCAGTTCGTGGGTGTCTCCCCCTTCCCTCCTGCCCGCACGCATCCACGCACACGGTTCTCTTACCCGGTGCTCCCTCCTGCGCCCTTCTCCCATAGTAGGTGGTGGTGGCATCCGATCACGTGGTGCCAGCTGGCACGCGCATAGCGAGGGAGCAGCAGCCAGAGGAGGAGGACAGCGATGATGAGAACACGGAGGGGCATGGCATGGGTGAGTTGATGGGAGGGGCATGGCGTGGGTGAGTTAAGGTGCCAGGGTCTAGGGTTTAGGGTTTTGGGTATGGCATGGGTGAGTTCAGTGCTAAGGTCTAGGGTGTATTGCTTGCATGGCATGGGTGAGTTCAGTGCTAAGGTCTAGGGTGTATTGCATGGCATGGGTGAGTTCAGTGCTAAGGTCTAGGGTGTATTGCATGGCATGGGTGAGTTCAGTGCTAAGGTCTAGGGTGTATTGCATGGCATGGGTGAGGCGATTGAAGGCATGGAGAGGATGGGCGGGGTGGCATGATACAACGAGGCGGCATGGGAGAGACAGGGAGAGGGGTGGGATGGGTGCAGGTGGCATGCCATGTCATGGTGCGACGATGACAACACGGATCGGTGCGGCGTGTGATGAGTGTGGAGGGATGGCGAGGGCGTGTGATGAGTGTGGAGGGATGGCGAGGGCATGTCATGAGTGGGATTCACTTTCCTGTACGATTGCATGTGGTTGTAATGGCATGTGGTTGTAATGGCATGTGGTTGTAATGGCATGTGGTTGTAATGGCATGTGGTTGTAATGGCATGTGATTGTAATGGCATGTGATTGTAATGGCATGTGGTTGTTATGGCATGTGGTTGTAGTAATGGCATGTGATTGTAATGCCATGTGGTTGTAGTAATGGCATGTGATTGTAATGGCATGTGGTTGTAGTAATGGCATGTGATTGTAATGGCATGTGGTTGTAGTAATGGCATGTGATTGTAATGGCTTGTGGTTGTAGTAATGGTATGTGATGGACGATGTACATGCATTGGTTGACGAATCTTAGGACTGATGTTTTCGCAACTGGTCCCGTGTATTGCCTGTCTCTTCTTTTGCCCCATTTTCTCTTTTACCACATATATTCTTTTGCTCCGGTTCTTCTTTTGCATTTTGCTCCATTGTTTCCTTTGCCACACGTTTCTTTCGCCCGTGTTTCCTTGGGCCCCTTTTGGTCGCACCCGTCCTCCGTGCAGCGTCTGCCCGCAGGCACAAGGGCAAGGCAGGCGATGACGAGGAGGAGGATGGGGAGGAGGACGAGGAGGAAGATGAGGAGGAAGAAGAGGAGGGGGAGGAGGAGAAGGAGCGTCTGTCGGATGAGGATGAGGATGAGGGTCCATGTGATGTGGATGCTGTGAGTGGCATGCGATGTGAGTGGCATGTGATGTGAGTGGCAGGTGATGTGAATGATGTGCATGATGTGAATGATGTGCATGATGTGCATGATGTGCATGATGTGAATGATGTGCATGATGTGCATGATGTGCATGATGTGAATGATGTGCATGATGTGCATGATGTGCATGATGTGAATGATGTGCATGATGTGCACGATGTTAATGATGTGAATGATGTGCATGATGTGCACGATGTGAATGATGTGAATGATGTGCATGCTGTGCACGATGTGAATGCTATGAATGTTGTGAATGATGTGCATGATGTGAATGATGTGCATGATGTGCACGATGTTAATGATGTTCATGATGTGCATGATGTGAATGATGTGCATGATGTGAATGATGTGCATGATGTGCATTATGTGCATGATGTGCATGATGTGAGTGATGTGCATGATGTGCACGATGTGCATGATGTGAATGATGTGCATGATGTGCGTGATGTGAATGATGTGCATGATGTGAATGGTGTGCATGATGTGCATGATGTTCATGATGTGCATGATGTGCATGATGTGCATGATGTGCATGATGTGCATGATGTGCATGATGTGAATGATGTGCATGATGTGCATGATGTGAATGATGTGAATGATGTGCATGATGTCCATGATGTGCATGATGTGCATGATGTGCATGATGTGCATGATGTGAATGATGTGCATGTTGTGAATGATGTGCTGACAGACATTGCAGTTGTTGTGGCATGCTGGCATGGCCAAATGCCCATGATTCCATAAGTCGATGTGTCCACATGCCTGCATCTGTGCTGTTCTGACAGGCGTCTACAATGCTGAGATGGGATGTGATGACATGGCACAGCATGGGGTGGGGTGGCATGGCATGTCATGGCACGGCATGGCATGCGGTGGGGTGGCATGGCATGGCATGGGGTGGGGTGGCATGGCACGGCATGGCATGGGGTGGGGTGGCATGGCATGACATGGCATGGGTTGGGGTGGCATGGCTTGGCATGGCATGGGGTGGGTGGGGTGGCATGGCTTGGCATGGCACGGCATGGCACGGCATGGCATGGGGTGGGTTGGCATGGCATGGCATGGCACGGCATGGGGTGGGGTGGCGTGGATGGCATGGCACGGCATGGGGTGGGGTGGCATGGCGCGGCATGGCATGGGGTGGGGTGGCATGGCATGGCACGGCATGGGGTGGGGTGGCATGGCTTGGCATGGCACGGCATGGGGTGGGGTGGCATGGCGCCGGACCTGTTGTGATGCAATGGATATTGTATGATCCTACTCTTGTGGATACGCCATGGCCTGTGATGTGATATGGGTGCTTTAGAGAGGAGTAAGTACGGGTGGCTATCCACAATGGTGCCTGTCACTGATCGCACGGCTTGTTGCTTGCAGTGCTTCATCGCGCCATCTTTTCGTTATCTGCCCTCTGCAGCTGTGCTGTGCGCTCTGTCCCACCTCTCACTTGAGACGTGCCCCTCGCAGCGGCCCTGGCTCCCGTCACCACGGAATCAGAGAAAGGAAGCGCCTTTGCCGCAACGCGTCACCCCCATTGCCGTCCAAGAAGGGTCTAAGCCTCTAAGGGAGGCTGGGGCTTTTTGTGGACGCCTCACCTCTGCCCCTCCCTTTCCTCAACTCCTCTCTGCAGGTGGGGCAGGGTGGCAGGGGCTTCGCCTGGCCTCCCAGAACGCCACCAGCAGCCGCAATGGTGAGGCGGCAGTCGCTTGCACCAATCACAGCGCAGGAAATCGCTGAGCTGGCAAGACTGGCCATTGAAAGGGAGGAGGGAGAGGAGGGGGAGGAGGAGGAGGAGAAAGGGGGAGAGGGAGGGGCGGCGCTGGTGGGAGGGGAGGATGAGGACGAGGATGAGGAGGAGGATGGGGAGGACGAGTTCAGTAAAGAGGTGAGCAGCGCCAGGAGGCGGGGTGGGGAGAGGGAGGCGGAGAGCAGCGGCGGCGGTAGATGGGAGAGAGGGGGTTGATGGAGAGGGAAGTCAGGAGGATGACGCGGGAGGAGAGTGGGGGAAAGGAAGGAAGAACGGTGCGAGAAAGTGATAGGTGAATGGGAATGGAAGGGGAAGGGGAAAGAGGGAGACAGGGGAAGATGAAGGGATGTGTTTTCGGTTTGGTGGTAGGCTCTTGTGGATGGGGGGATGTGGTGCTGTATGCATGAGCATTGGGCTATTACAAGGCATCTTTGCAAATTTGCTTATGCTATAATGGTTATGACGATCTTGCATAATGTATTTGTGCATCACATGGCCTGGCATGGCATGGCATGGCCTGGCATGGCAGGTGGAGGAGATGTTCAAGCGAGCCGTGGCGGAGGGGGTGGCTCAAGACAACGTGGTGCTGGAAGTGAACGCACTCAAGTGAGTCAACGCACTCAAGTGAGTCAACGCACTCAAGTGAGTCAACGCACTCAAGTAAGTCAACGCACTCAAGTGAGTCAACGCACTCAAGTGAGTCAACGCACTCAAGTGAGTCAACGCACTCAAGTGAGTCAACGAGTCAAGCACCAGTCGTGTCTGGCTTCCTTGCTTGTTTTGCGCTGGTCATTCTCTCCGCACGCATCTCTCCTTCCCCTTTATCAAACCCCCCCGTCTGCCTCTCCTTGCCGGCGGTGCAGGTGCTGTATTCACGGGCATGTCCCGGTCTCACGCATGTCTCCGTCTCACGCATGTCTCCGTCTCACGCATGTCTCCGTCTCACGCATGTCCCCGTCTCACGCATGTCTCCGTCTCACGCATGTCCCCGTCTCACGCATGTCCCCGTCTCACGCATGTCCCCGTCTCACGCATGTTGCCCTTCTCTCCTATCCCGTACCGTCCTGCCCCCCCATCCCCCCCTCCAGGCTGGCGTACAACCGCTCCTTCGCAGACTGTGCGGGCGCCATGTTCACGGGCATGCTCAACCTCGCCGCCTCGCACACGCCGCCAGGGGCGCCCACCAGTGAGCTCTTCTCACACCAGTGAGCTCTTCTCACACCAGTGAGCTCTTCTCACACCAGTGAGCTCTTCTCACACCAGTGAGCTCTTCTCCGGCTGCACTTCGCTTTCACAGCAGCCTCCTAGCACATTCGCCTCTGCTTCCCATTCTTCCCTATGCTTTCCATACTCCCTTCCGCCCAACCCAAGCCACCCCCGCCCCCCATTCGCCCCTGTGATGTTCCTCCTCTTGCCTTATCTGTCCTCTCTAAGGGGCGCTCTCATCCACCCCTTTTCACCCTTCCACCCCTTTTCACCCTTCCACCCCTTTTCACCCTTCCACCCCTTTTCACCCTTCCACCCCTTTTCACCCTTCCACCCCTTTTCACCCTTCCACCCCTTTTCACCCTTCCACCCCTTTTCACCCTTCCATCCCTTTCCACCCGTCTTCCCCTTGCCGCCCTTCCTTCTCTCTGCGTTTGCCTGCCCACCTGCAACTCGCTCAGCCGGCTCGGTTCCACCCACACACAAGCCAAGCCCACGAGGCGAGCCGCCAGTTTGCCACTTTCCACTGACCTGCCTTCCCTGCCCCTCCTTCCCCTTTTTGCCCCCATTAGAGGAACTGCTTGCTTCCACCCGCGCTGTGGTAACCCGCTGGACGTCGCTGCTGAGAAGGTTCCTCAAGGGCACGGACGATGAGGTGGGCCAGTGCCATGGGACTAGGGGGTTCCAACACAAGCACAGGCAGGGGCGTGGGGACAGGGGGGTTTTGGGGTTTAGCAGCAGGGAATGATTGGGGAGAAGGGGACTCAGTGCTGGAGTGGCACTGTCGATGAGGTGAACTGGACGTTCTGCCATGCCTTCCCTCCCCCCCCCCACCCCCGCAGGTGGAGGTGCTGCTGACGTTCGAGGAGGTGTGCAACGAGACTCGCCCCGAGTTCGCCCCCGTCTTTGTCAACGTGAGTTGCTCCCGTTTGTCGACGTGAGTGCCTTCTCGTAGACATCCGTGTGAGCTGCTTCTTGGTGTGGGTACTTTGCATTCAACGATGCAGTCTTGGCTGCTGTGACGAGGCGCGCACCACATGAGCCGAGGCGCGCACCACATGAGCTGTGTGCGCCACTTACTCGTGCACGGTACCATTGCCTTGGGTGCACGGTACCATTGCCTTGGGTGCACGGTACCATTGCCTTGGGTGCACGGTACCATTGCCTTGGGTGCGGGTACCATTGCCTTGGGTGCGCGATACCATTGCCTTGGGTGCACGATACCATTGCCTTGGGTGCGCGGTACCATTGCCTTGGGTGCACGGTACCATTGCCTTGGGTGCACGGTACCATTGCCTTGGGTGCACGGTACCATTGCCTTGGGTGCGCAGTACCATTGCCTTGGGTGCACGGTACCATTGCCTTGGGTGCACGGTACCATTGCCTTGGGTGCACGGTACCATTGCCTTGGGTGCACGGTACCATTGCCTTGGGTGCACGGTACCATTGCCTTGGGTGCACGGTACCATTGCCTTGGGTGCACGGTACCATTGCCTTGGGTGCACGGTACCATTGCCTTGGGTGCACGGTACCATTGCCTTGGGTGCACGGTACCATTGCCTTGGGTGAGCGATACCATGGCCTTGGGTGCGCGGTACCATTGCCTTGGGTGCGCGGTACTTTTGCCTTGGGTGCACGGTACCATTGCCTTGGGTGCACGGTACCATTGCCTTGGGTGCACGGTACCATTGCCTTGGGTGCACGGTACCATGCCTTGGTGCACGGTACCATTTCCTTGGGTGCACGGTACCATTGCCTTGGGTGCACGGTACCATTGCCTTGGGTGCGCGCTACCATGGCCTTGGGTGCGCGATACCATTGCCTTGGGTGCGCGGTACCATTGCCTTGGGTGCACGGTACCATTGCCTTGGGTGCACGGTACCATTGCCTTGGGTGCACGGTACCATTGCCTTGGGTGCACGGTACCATTGCCTTGGGTGCACGGTACCATTGCCTTGGGTGCACGGTACCATTGCCTTGGGTGCACGGTACCATTGCCTTGGGTGCGCGGTACCATTGCCTTGGGTGCACGGTACCATTGCCTTGGGTGCACGGTACCATTGCCTTGGGTGCACGGTACCATTGCCTTGGGTGCACGGTACCATTGCCTTGGGTGCGCGGTACCATTGCCTTGGGTGCACGGTACCATTGCCTTGGGTGCACGGTACCATTGCCTTGGGTGCACGGTACCATTGCCTTGGGTGCACGGTACCATTGCCTTGGGTGCACGGTACCATTGCCTTGGGTGCACGGTACCATTGCCTTGGGTGCACGGTACCATTGCCTTGGGTGCACGGTACCATTGCCTTGGGTGCACGGTACCATTGCCTTGGGTGCACGGTACCATTGCCTTGGGTGCACGGTACCATTACCATTGCCTTGGGTGCACGGTACCATTGCCTTGGGTGCACGGTACCATTGCCTTGGGTGCACGGTACCATTGCCTTGGGTGCACGGTACCATTGCCTTGGGTGCACGGTACCATTGCCTTGGGTGCACGGTACCATTGCCTTGGGTGCACGGTACCATTGCCTTGGGTGCACGGTACCATTGCCTTGGGTGCACGGTACCATTGCCTTGGGTGCACGGTACCATTGCCTTGGGTGCACGTCCACCGGTCACGTACCATTGCCTTGGGTGAGCGATACCATGGCCTTGGGTGCGCGGTACCATTGCCTTGGGTGCGCGGTACTTTTGCCTTGGGTGCACGGTACCATTGCCTTGGGTGCACGGTACCATTGCCTTGGGTGCACGGTACCATTGCCTTGGGTGCACGGTACCATTGCCTTGGCTGCACGGTACCATTGCCTTGGGTGCACGGTACCATTGCCTTGGGTGCACGGTACCATTGCCTTGGGTGCGCGCTACCATGGCCTTGGGTGCGCGATACCATTGCCTTGGGTGCGCGGTACCATTGCCTTGGGTGCACGGTACCATTGCCTTGGGTGCACGGTACCATTGCCTTGGGTGCGCGGTACCATTGCCTTGGGTGCACGGTACCATTGCCTTGGGTGCACAGTACCATTGCCTTGGGTGCACGGTACCATTGCCTTGGGTGCACGGTACCATTGCCTTGGGTGCGCGGTACCATTGCCTTGGGTGCACGGTACCATTGCCTTGGGTGCACGGTACCATTGCCTTGGGTGCACGGTACCATTGCCTTGGGTGCACGGTACCATTGCCTTGGGTGCGCGGTACCATTGCCTTGGGTGCACGGTGCCATTGCCTTGGGTGCACGGTACCATTGCCTTGGGTGCACGGTACCATTGCCTTGGGTGCACGGTACCATTGCCTTGGGTGCGCGATACCATGGCCTTGGGTGCGCGATACCATTGCCTTGGGTGCGCGGTACCATTGCCTTGGGTGCACGGTACCATTGCCTTGGGTGCACGGTACCATTGCCTTGGGTGCACGGTACCATTGCCTTGGGTGCACGGTACCATTGCCTTGGGTGCACGGTACCATTGCCTTGGGTGCACGATACCATTGCCTTGGGTGCGCGATTCCATTGCCTTGGGTGCGCGGTACCATTGCCTTGGGTGCGCGGTACCATTGCCTTGGGTGCACGGTACCATTGCCTTGGGTGCACGGTACCATTGCCTTGGGTGCACGGTACCATTGCCTTGGGTGCACGGTACCATTGCCTTGGGTGCACGGTACCATTGCCTTGGGTGCGCGACACCATGGCCTTGGGTGCGCGATACCATTGCCTTGGGTGCGCGGTACCATTGCCTTGGGTGCACGGTACCATTGCCTTGGGTGCACGGTACCATTGCCTTGGGTGCACGGTACCATTGCCTTGGGTGCACGGTACCATTGCCTTGGGTGCACGGTACCATTGCCTTGGGTGCACGATACCATTGCCTTGGGTGCGCGATTCCATTGCCTTGGGTGCGCAGTACCATTGCCTTGGGTGCACGGTACCATTGCCTTGGGTGCACGGTACCATTGCCTCTCCAGCCGTCAGATGGTGGGGGTTCGGGAGAGAGTGGATGTGGCACGGTGCACGGTGCACGAGTTCGTGAGTGAGTGAGTGAGTAGTTCGTTTCATCACTCGCACCCTCCGCCTCCACCTTGCACGAGTGCATGAGGAGGCAGTCCATGCATGGGCGGGCAGGCTGGTTCTTGCCCGCGGTTTCATTCTATTCCCCCCGCCACCTGCTGCAGGCACTCTGCGATCGCCGACGCTCACATAGTAAGCAATAAGCGTGGAGGAGGCACTCCCTCACAGCGCTCGCCCCCCATGTCGCCTCGCCCCCGCCAGGTGCTGGAGCTGCTGGATGACCGGGGCATGTGGCATGGTGAGCGAGGCGGCGGTCTTTGCATCGGCCAACCACCAACCCGCCGCAACTCACATGCACTCTGCCCCCACTCACCCGCTCCTCCCCGGCAGGTGCTGGAGGAAAGACAAGGACGTGGCGAGCGAGGAGGCCATCATGGTGTGGACTGATAACATCCTCTCCTCCCCGCCAGGTGTTACAGACGCTGTACGACCGTGCTGCTCACCTGCATGCCAGGTGCTGGAGACATTGTGGGCGAGGAGGAGGCGGGTGTGGCGTGGTGTGATGACAGCCAGCTCTTCGCATGTGGCACACCCCCGGCCCACCCCTTCCCTCTTCCCGGCAGGTGCTGGAGACCCTGTATGACAAGGACATAGTGAGCGAGGAGGCCGTCATGGCGTGGGCCGAGGAGAAGCAGTTCGCTGACGCCGCGGACAAGGTGTTCGTCGAACGATCCGCAGCGTTCATCAAGGTGGGATGAACGGTTTAGATAAATTCCTGCTGTGGTGTGGACTGGACACAGCTCTGTTTGTGTGGGTCTGCGGTGTGTGTGTGGGGCTGCTTGCTCTGGCACCATGCGACGATGATCACTTCATGCGTCACAGCACGGCCACACTCTCCTCTCTTCCCACATCTAGCTGCTGGTGCTCCCTTCCTTGCTCCCCTGCCCCTCCCCTTGTTTCTCTCTCCTCTGTCACCCTTTCTCTCTCCTCTGTCACCCTTTCTCTCTCCTCTGTCACCCTTTCTCTCTCCTCTGTCACCCTTCCCCCTTTCTACCCTTTTTTACACTACTTCTCCCCCGTCCCTCGTCCTGCATATGCCAACTTTCTCCCTTCCCTTCTGCCCGCTCCGCTGCCCGCTCTACTGCCCGCGGTGCTGGCCGTGCTCTGCACAGTGGCTGAAGGAGGCGGAGGAGGAGGAGGAGAGTGACGAGGAGTGAGTGCCTCGCAAGCACCTTACCCACGCGGCCATGGCAAATCATGGCTCATGTGCGAGTAGGGATGGTGTGCTAGCCTAGCCGTCATGCTTTTTCCTGTTGTACAGGAAAAGCTGTTTGCTGTATGGTACTGTACCATACCATACCATACGGGTGGTTGCCTTTGGTGGGATTGGAGTTGGGGAACTCTCAGATTCTGTAAAACCCGCAACATGGCAGTGCAGGCAGACCAATGTCAATCGCTGTCCATTACAGGTCGTATGCCAACAAGCAAGCTGTTGCATTGTGCAGCATGGAACGGTCAAATGACATAAGTACCGTACTTAAGGAGCACAATACTTACAGTTGAGGTTGCTTACGCTCTCCGGGAATGTGAAGCAAGCTTGGAAGAGCCACAAGAAGAGTGCTCCTCAATTTGGTGCATTGGTGGGTTTACGGCATGCGAGTGGAAACTGTGGAATGGAAAGCCATGAGGCTCTCACTACATGCCTGATAGGACCTAGCCCAAGGGGTCTCTGCTACATGGTGGCCGAAGGAACCTTCATCAGGTAAGTCCTATGGCCTCAATCAGCCTCTACACCTACACTGCACTGCACATGTACGTATCTAAACGTACCATTACAAATCACTGTTACTAAGTGGCCTAAATAACCACCTGCGTCTCCTACGACGATTCCACGGGGGTGTCTCGGGGCAGCTTATTCCAGTTGCTCGAGCAGTTGCGCCCCCTCCACTCAAACCCTCTCTCCTCCATGCTCTCCCGGGCAGCCACGGGCAGCGATGAAAAAAAATCCCAGTCCGCAGCCAGCTGCTTGAGCACAGGCAGCTTGTTGCCGAGGCCCGGGCAGCAGTTGGCGTGCACGGTGAGCAGGCGGGAGAGCGAGTGGCCCATCTCACAGAAGCCCCCGAAGAGGTCCGTGGGCAGGTAGCGCAGCAGCAGGGGCGACGCCACGCGCGTGAAGGGGTTGGCCTCGGGGCGAATCCAGTTGAACACCTGCTGTATGCGGAACTGCGGGCACCTGCAGGGGCCGCAGGGGGGGTGATGCGATGCACGGGACGGGCATGATGCACGTGGTGTACATGATGCACATGATGCATGTGGTGCACATGATGCATGTGGTGCATGTGGTGAATGTGATGCACATGATGCACGTGGTGCACGTTAAGCACATGGTGCATGTGGTGCATGTGATGCACATCATCCAATAAACTGTGATAAAGACACACATACCAAACACAAGGCTTTTCGCATCTCTACTCTTCACCCCACCCCCCCACTGCTCACCGCCTGTGCCACGCCAGCCAGTCCTGGAAGAACCGCAGCGTGCGGCCGTTGGCCCGCGCCGCGTAGAACCCCCCGTTCGCCACCACGGAGCGTGCATTGGGCGCCCACCAGTCAGCCGACATCTGCAGGTCGTGCGGGTGGCGCCAGAGCAGCGGCAGGGGGTTGTGCAGCCAGAGGATGTCGGTGTCGGTGAAGAGCACGTCGTAGCCCAGGCGCAGCATGCTGTGCACCACGTGCACCTTGCGCCACACCTGGGGGCAGCGACGCGGGTGCACGGCAGGCAAGGAAGAGAGGGGGACTTAGACGGTTGGCAACGGGCACACATCACATCGTCACCGTCAGCTCTGCTTCAGCCACTGTGCACGCTGCGCCATACATGCATGCGCGATACCGGTTACGCGTAATCACATCATACCAAGTGCACATGATCTCATACCAATCAATGCAGGTGTGCATGATCGCATCATACCAATCAATGCAGGTGTGCATGATCGCATCATACCAATCAATGCAGGTGTGCATGATCGCATCATACCAGGTGTATATAAGCGCGCGTCATGAAGTGTTTCTGCCCGCCGCTGAAGTCGTCTTTCTCCTCCGCGTCCTCCTGCCAGTCCATGTAGCAGTTGAGCCCCATGCCGCAGCACGTCGCAAAGCTCTCGTCGTCGTACGCCACCACCACCAGCCGCGCCACTAGCCCGCCCAGCTCGCCAGCACCACCGCTCGCGTCCTCACCCGCCCCTGCACCGTCGTCTCGCCCTCTGCCCGTCGCCTCACCCTCCACTGCTCTCCGCGCCCCCTCTCTCTCCTCCCTCTCAACCCCAGCCTGAACCCTCCCCTCCCCCCTCCGCCTCGTCTCCTCGCGCGCCCTCCTCTCCTGCGCCTCCACCGCTCTCAACCGCTCCAGGAAGAAGCGCATCATGGGCGCCCACGCCTCGCTGAACGACACTACGATCACGGACCGCCGCGCCGCGCGCGCCAGCAGGTCCGCGGGCGACGCCGACCCCACGTCCTCCTCGCTCGCCGCCGCCGTGTCGCTTTCGCCACCTACACCGCCTACCGTTGCGCTACCAGTAGCGCCGGCAGCAGACTTCACGGCCGCTTCGAGGACCGACTGGAGTGTTCTGATGGGGTGGCGGGGTGGCGGGCGGGCGAAGGCATGGATGGGGGAGGCGAAAGGACGGAGGCTTTCAACACACGTGGATGCGGTACGATCAGCATCACGTGGAGCACATGCCGCCTTGGCAAGTGTTTTTTGTTGTTCCTCTACGATGCACCTGTACTTGATTTTTCTCCGTCTGTGAAAAGCGCACTCTCGTGTCATCCTCGTCGTGCGTCCTTCCGTGCCCGCCTCACCTGCACTTGGAGCACGTCGCCGCTTTCTCCCCATCCCCCGCTCCAATTCCTCCAGCCATGTCCCTCGCTCCGCCCACTGCCGCGCCCCCAGCGGAATTCCCCCGCAGCCGAGCGGACCCGTCGGAGCCGCTCCCCCCCGACCACCGCAGAAGCACCGACTCCGGGGCGTCTGCGCCCGACGTGCCCCGCCCGGCGGGCGTGGATGCGCAAAAATCCTCGCGGCTGAGCGGAGGCAGCGGCGCGGGAGTGGCGCGGGAGGAGGCGGAGGCGGCGGAGCGAACGCGCAGGTGAAGGCGATTAAAGCCGGAGAAGAAGAAGAGGCACGTGAGAGAGGACGCGAGCAGCAGCCACGCGAACAGGGACTGGCGACCCTTGAGCGAGGCGACTGGGAAGAGAGAAACCGAGCAGAGGACGAAGGCTAGCGGGGGATTGCTGGCGGCAGAGGGTGACAGTAACGGGTGCTCTAGTCTGTGCGGCAGGTAGTGCATGTGCGGGTTGGCGCCCGTAAAGGAGTGTGATCGGTGCAGCCGCGATCGCGAGACGGCGCTGCTGCCGCCGTACGGCGCGCTGCTGCCCTGGTCCGCTTGGACCGCGTGGATGGGAGGGAAGGGGTCCATCATGGGGAAGCACGATCTGATTCACGCCGCCATGTGCTCTCTAACGACTATTGGATCCGCAACTAGATGCCCTGAAACCCGACCGTAAAAGACGGAGAGTACAAGCACGACCAAGTAGCAAGACGCAGCTCAGCAGGATCCAGAACGCTCAGTCGACATGCCGCCTGAGTGGGTCAAACCAAGAACGTCCACCCATGATTTCTTGGGTGCTGTTGCCAAGGCAAAGGAAACAGACGGTGCTGTTGCTGGAAACCATACTGTACTTGATTTTCGTTTCCCCCCTCTTTGCTGAATCCAAGGCAGTTCTCCCTGATATATTGTACTGCTTATGTAGGACAATGGTCAACCCTCCCCAAGCTTGCATGAGGACGACGGTTTGCTTTTTAAGCATGAGGATGGTCTTTTCGCCTCAGTTCCTTGGCTTCCCCACTCTCAGTACCGTACAAAACCAAATTTTATTCCCGAAAAGTGACGAGGACTAAAAGTAATCGTCAGCGCACTAGTGACTCGAATCTCTGATCTGAACCCCCGAAACAGAAATCTGCCACCCTGCCGAGTCGCCTTCAGCTCATGCGATTCGGGTAACAAGCCAAGTCAGATTTGTCAGCCGCGCTGGCCCGGACCATTAGATGCGAACTCGTTAGTGTATGCAATTTTGCACATGGTAACCCCACAGGCGTGCTCATCATTTTCCGTGAGAAGCATTGAACGATGTTACAAAATATATCGACTTCAAGATCTCAATCGTCAAGCGAGCACCCTCTAGGGGGTCCGTAGTGGCGTCCTCACTCCAGCTCCTCACCTTCCTCGCACCTCTCCTCGGCCCCTCCCCTCGGCATTTTCCCCTCCATACGCCACCTGTCCAAATCCCGCGTCGCGCGCACCAACACAAGGGCAAGCGAAGTGAAGCAACCCACTAACCTCCCTTCCCCGCCCCCCTCTCCTCCCCACCTTCTTCGCTTGGTGTGTTGCTGTCCACCCTCCACGATTAGTTTGCGCTTCACTCGCGACCTGTGTTATCTTGTCGCCATTCATCGTGTCGTTGTTGCGTAAAGCCTCTACTCTCTCTGTCGGCGCCATTTTAGCGGCGTAAAGTCTATCTTCGAACTAGGAGTCCTCTATTAGTAGTGGAGCACTTTTTAGTAGTGGGTTACGTTGCAGTCGTTAGTCTCGTCGAATCCAGCTTGCCATTCAAGCACCTCAACTTAAGGTCCGTCTCTTGGTGCCGTTCGCCCTGCTCCCCTGTTACCGGGTCCCTACCCGGCCGTGTCCTCTCGATCTCCCCATCCTCCATCCCTCACTCCCTCTCTCCCTCTCTCCCTCCTCTCGCCCGCGTGTCCCGTCGTTCACTTTCCAATTTCCCGCTTCATCCTTCCCCGCCTTTCTAACTCCCGCGCACCCAACGCACATACGCCATGGGCGATGGCGTGATGCCCATCCTGCTGTGCTCGTGGCGTGCGCAGCGCCGTCCGCCGTGGCATGGGCAACGGCTCCAGCAGCCACGGTAAGCACCACGACCACCGCCGCCCCGACAGCCGCTACGCCTCCTACTCCGGCCCCGCCAGCCCCGCGTATTCCGGCCCCGCCAGCCCCGGCGCCGCGTGCCAGCGCCACAGCGAACCCCCCGCGACTGCGCGCAGCGAGGGGGGCATCGGCGGCGGCGGCGGGTCAGTGAGCCGCAGCAGCTCGTTCGGGTACTCGCGCGCGCTGCAGCACAAGTACGGCATCATCCCCGACACCTTCCGCTCCATCGCTCAGGTGCCACGTCGTGCAGGTCGTATCTGGACACGTTGTTTGTGCTCCGTTGGGCAGGCGCGCGCGTTGAGACACACTGCGATCAGCTGGACAGGTGGTGCGTGAGACAGGCCGTATCTGGACTCGTTGCTGCCCGGCGGGCAGGCGCGCGCAATGTCAGTTGGGCGTCGCTTGCACTCCCCAACCCATGCGACAGACAGACCGCGGAGTCAGTGGGACTTGCTGTCCGGAACGCGACGTGCAGATTACCGCAGGAGGAGGGGGGCGAGTGGAGCACCTGAAAGATGTCCCACCCACTGCGCGTTGCC